TTTGCTACTAAGCCTAAATCCATTAAATTTCCGAAGTATCAACGCATTGTTTAATAATACTCTATAGAGTATTTAAACGGCTTATGCTTTATAGATATTTATATATATATATACTTTAATTACCTTATTTCTTGTTTAAATGCATATTTTACACATTTTATTTTAATTACTCACCATTTTATGACTTTTAACATTATACATCTGAAAACTAAATATATTACTTAAAATTCTCTTTTCGTATGAAAACTTTTAAAACAGGGATCTACACACAGTCCTACGTTACATTCCTTGAACTCTTAATAACTCATTTGCCGTTTTGGAGTATTTTTCGGGGAATGTGAACAAACGAAGCATCGTCGTCTCATTTTCTTATCAGTCTCTTCTGAACAAAGTTTTGGAAAATGTCTTTCAGTTAATCTTTCAGAATCAATATCAGAATTTCAGAGTCAATATCTGAAATATTTTGCATCATTTCTGCTATTTCATGCTCTGTTAAACATTTTCAACGCTTCGACATTGCAACGGTAAAAACAGAAAGAATTCACGTCTAACAAGATCTAATTATTTTCTAAAAACTGAACTGCAAACCGAAATACTCAACGCTTTTAGCGCATATATAAAACTTCTACTTACAATAAAACAACTACCACGTGCGAATAAAGTGCGATTTAAAGAGACGTCATAAATCACGCCATTCGGAAACATTTAGTTTCCCGTTTGTTATATAATCAAAAACACGTGTATGTGAGTCATGCTTCTCTCATTTCAGTAGAGTCGAGTAGAAGGTCTAATGTACATGTATCTGAAACCATATGGACATACAGTGCCATCTTGTGGCAGAAATTATAGTTTCTAAAACGTTCCAGGGTACTGCCACAAATACGTGACAGTCGGTAGTAAACGGGAAAATGCTCTGGCACGCCTGCTTGTCGGCCGGTAGGTGAGTGTGTTCGTTGCTGGCACGTAGACGTGACAGTCGGCGCTAAGGGGTTTTAAACTGCTTGGCTAAATTGACAGAAATTTATCCTCGTGAAACAGCAATACTCCTTTTATCACAAATGAAATCTTAATTAGTAGGATGAAGATACCACTATGAATAGGAAAGAGCTAGGAGAAAGAGTAGCTTATATTTTTGTTTCGAAATGAACTTGCTAAACGTGATATTTTGACTTTGAAATAGTCATTTCACTTAATTACTAATTTCGAAATATCGGCATCACCTATAGAATAGTATCGTGAGTTATAAATGACTAGTTTATATTTCCTATTTGAACTGTAGAGATAAAAAAACGGATATCTTCCACTAACCCATCTTTAATATTATAAATGATGGAAAATGTAGCACTTTTTATAAAAATAAAAATCTATTTTTTTATTATCATTTTATTTTATTTTTTAAGCAGTGGAGTAAGAGGAAAATACAGAAATATGCGTGACACTCATCGATAATGAAAGCTCTTGAGACTTCAGGAGCATCAAGCCTTTTACCAAATGTGAGATGAACATTGGAAGAACAAGTGTATACACAACAAGGAAAAGGCGGCACGCGAAATACTCCAGTATGGATATTCACAAAAGCGAGCGAGCCCGGAAGCGTATTTCCATTTCCCCTGTACGAAAGATGATTGAGGAGTAAATATGGACACTTGGGCACGGTTGGAGGAATTTTGGTGAGGAAGTCGTATATGTGGTAAAAACTAGAAAACACATTTTTGGAAATCATGGTCTAATAATGCGTTCGGTGATAAATTTAATATTTTTTTAATCATAGCTATAAATTTGAAAAGTTAAAAATGATAATTTTACAAAAGTATTTTAAGTAAAATTGATTATCAATAAGTATATAGGCTGAATCTGCTTCCAATACTATGTAAATATTACAATATTTTGTATAAAGCCTAACAAAAGACTTCATTTAAAATGAAGCCTTACAATATTATCTACTGTAAAAATAAACATTTTCTCTAATTTAAAACTAGGCCTTTTTGTCTTAAGGCGGTTAAGAATTATTTCTGACACTAAAAATATATTTAGTGAAACTTTACTGTCAATTTTGGACATTCATTTCTTTTTGATACGATATTCTGCAATTATTATCCACTTCCTAGTGACAAAATTTAGCACCACAACAATGCATAGCGCATTTACTGTGCCTTCCACGAGGTCTCGTGCGTTGTTATTTCTTCGAACGTTATAATTTCACAAAATGCAAGTTCTTTAATTTATCTGTTAAGTTAAACGCTCTATAACAGCTAAACAATGCTGGAGATATGAAAGAAAAAAATGCACTTCTTAGGAAATATTATCTACTTTTTGTTTTAATACTGTATGTAATTGCTTTAAATAAAACTTTGGGTTATATTTGTGCAGCAAGCCTCCACATTATTCAGCATCAGGTGTGTTAACTGCGATCACCGAATGACAAAGCGAAAATGATTGCAACAACCAGTTTCTCCTTCTCTGCTGCTGGGGTCCGAAGGTGTAGGACGGCCGCTGGCTGTCCTCAGCCTGGATGCGATGTACCATTTTCCTGTTTCTGGTTGCGGCTTCATTCGATGCTGTTTGCTAATACATTAAAATCCTTTTCAGTCAGATGTCTTTAGATGAAGATATTGAAAAAATGCTCCAGTTTCCTATACATCGTTACATGAAACAATTTTTTATGCTACTTCTTCCTCCTTTCGAGAACTCTTCGCGGGCACGTGTTTATAAAATCTGAAATTTACTGATTTAAAGAAGAAAGACCAATAATAGTATGCTTATTCAAGGACGTTTAATGACTGCCATCAAAATTTGATTATTCATTTCATAACGAGACGGTTTTCGCGCTGATGGAAAAAGATTAACTTTGTTCTTAGTGCAACGTTATTTTGGTGATGCGCATCACTCGTGCTTGATATGCAGATTCTGATATATTCGTCTGTCTGGTTGATAATTTTTATTTATAAATGCTTATTTCAGTAACGAAGATGAAGAAATAAATTTAATTAATTTGGTAATATCTGCTTGTCATCTTTTGGGGTAAGTTACCTGGATTTCGTATTTCTTTAAGATCACACACTTTATTTTCTCTACAATAATGCATCTAATGGATAGTTTTTCTGAAGATTTGTTGTAGTTAAGAATGAATGCTTCGAACACCATACATTACATGCTTGGTATAGGAACGTTCTTACTCAATTCTGTACGTTACACGAAAATAAAACGTAAAATCTTTCTTTTTTTTTTTTCTCTGGATTATAACACGGTTTTACGTTGACAATGTTAAATTATAAATTAATTATAAAGCATTAATTAAAGTAATATACATGAAACTAGAGTTTAAGATCGTATTTTAACCTCCTATGTCCACGTGTCCCCGATAACGACTTTCTCCACGACTCCACGACTTTATAAGGTAAACTGGCTCCTATACATGTTACACATAGGGAAAACCACGAAAACGCACATGCAGCCAGCTCGTTAGCCGGCAATCGAACCTCCGTTCAAGAAAAATTCATTCGCAATTATCGGAGACTCGTGTACAGTCCAGGTTTGGTTTATTTCAATAACGGCAAAGCACTCAAGGGCTATCTGCCTAAGAGGAGGGATGCCTTCATGGAGGACTTTCTAAGGTAAACTGGCTCCTATACATGTTACGCATAGTGAAAACCACGAGAACGCCCATGCAGCCAGCTCGTTAGCCGGCAATCGAACCTCCGTTCAAGCAAAATTAATTCTCAATTATCGGGGACACGTGTACAGTCGCTAGCGCTGTGTATCAGCGTGAAAGATTTTCTAATGCATATGAGTTCCGAATAAATACCAGAAGGTGAAGATAAGTAAGATGATGATGAAGCAATCAATTAGGTCATATTACTAATTTTCAGGATGCAGAGTGTCTAACTTAACTCGTCCTAACTTCTTCCTAGAAGATGAAATAGAACCGACAGAGACGATGAGCTAATTGCCACTAATCAAATCTGGCTGCGAAAATCTGGGTGTATCCGTGTAAAGGATTGTGCTATCAGCCAGTGCCAATCAGAGTTTAAAAAGAAATGCCAGTGATTGCAAAAACAGATTTCTTATAGCAACTTAGAAAAGTCTTACAATAATAACTTGTCTGTGTAAATACATAAAATAATAAAGCGAAAAAGCAAAAACAAAACAAAAGTAAAAGCAATTGGTCAGGGGTAGATGTAGTACATATATTAGGTATATTATAATACACAAGATAGATGAGTTTATGATATTTGTTTGGCCATCGGTCTTTTTCTATTTACATGAGCACTGGAATCATAATTCAAAATTGGTACAGTTGAATTACTGACTTCCGAGATTTTCCAGAAGAACGTTTGGGCTAGTTTGGTCATACATAAATTAATTTTTGAAATTCTGAGTTTACGGTGAATCTTCAAGTTTCTAATGAACCATAGGCAATTCACCGCTTTTAGGTGTAGAATAATTTGTGCAATTTGCAACCTATGTTTTCCAAGCATATCCCTAGACAGGGCAGGCGTAGGTAATAATAGGACGCAACATGGTCTTGTAAATGAGTAAATTATTGTATATAGATAAAAAACTGTTACCATCCGAAGAAAAGTTATTCATTCGAAGATTTGGCCTAGCCTTTCGAACAATGGCACACCGCATTAGCAAGCAGTAGGGGACCAATACGTGTGTAGGTAAAATGTTTGAGGGAGTAAATATTCCTGCAAAGAGGGCGGATTGTATTCAATGAAATGGTCAAAATAATGCTAATTTAGGGCTTCGAAAAAATATATATATAATTTAAAGTAAGAATTCACATCCAAACTGATTGAATTCGTGGAATTAAGAGTTAAATGTTTTTTCTTTCTGTAGTTATTTCAAGTTGTGATTTTTGAAATTAAAATCGAAAGCTTTAGTAAATCGGATTCGCTTTAGTTGAGGTACAGTTGAGCTAGTAAATATGGCTCCCGCGAAAAGAAACAAATACAGTGCTGGTTTCAAATGCAAAGCCATTAATTTTACGATAGAGAATGGAAAACATGTTGCAGCAAGGGTGTTTAGTGTTGATGAAAGATGGAACGGATGATGATGAAGATTTATTTGTGGATCAGAATAACAACCATAGTGAAGATGAAACAAAATTGGATGATGCGATTGAAGATATAACTGAAGGCGAAGATGACGAACTTTTCATGCTATCCGATAATGAAAATTTTTAAGTTCATAAGATATGTCATTTCTTTTAAATGTACAGCATTTAGGTACATATACGAATAAATTTTTGTTCTAATTTCTTATTTTTAAATCTCTCATTTTTATGCCCGGCTTATAATGCGCACCCGTAAATTTTGATGATACTTCGAATGCAGATTAATAAAAAGTATTCCACGTTTATTAATAAATAGATATTTCTTTTTCCATATTTTGTTTCTGGTTAAATTTTCTCATGACCCCTTTGTAAGATTAAGAAATGCATGGTAGGATAAAGGCTTAATTACCAAATAGGAAATGGCGACTCGGCGAAACTTATTTCTCTTCTGATTACCTTCGAGTACTCGTTAACGATCTTGAAGTCGTATATATATATATATAGCTACATTTTTCCAGACAGGGATTAAGAGATCTTTTTTAGGAAGTACACATCCCCAGTAAACATGATATATTTTGAGAGGATTAGGACTAATATTTCCTTCCTTAATCTTCGATGGTTCTATGGACTTACGAGTTTCATCTTGTATTTTCTACGACGTATCTTCTAATGTTTAAATGCAATGAGGAACTGATCATATTTCCTCATTTCTTATTAGATAGTATCCTAATTATGTAGTGAAAATCTCATATCAATTAAAGCGCGCTTTAAGACTATATTCAGAAGCGTTACCGATAACTTCTAAATAATGACATACGGAGAAAATTTGAATAAGGAATTTTTTTTAAATCTAATTTTTTTTTATTATAAATATGAAGTTTATGTTAAAATAAAGATGCATATGATAAGTAATAATTAGTAACATAAATTATTAAACTTTTGAAGGCCAAATTCAGACCCAAGTTTAGTTTTAAATCCTTTCTTGCCTGTTACAAGTACGAATGATCTAGTTTAATGATATCAATCAATAAAATGCTGCAAAAAATTGTACATATGGTTTTCATAATATTCTCAGTTGGGAGCGTTGGCCAGTTCTGATTAAATTCACTATGCTGGTCTGAAAAATGGACTATAGAGATAAATCAATCAAATAACAAGTAAAGTAGCTGACATATGATTAATTTAAGTAAAAAACTTTCATTTTTTTTTTTGCACAAAACCTGCTTAAATTTTATTTTATACCAATATCCTATGGTTCCAAATTTGTGATCATGGATGTTTATTGAATTATAGCAGATGCATTTCTTCTTAATATTATTACATACCATGTTCTTTTAGTAATGTTGTAAGGATCTTAAGTTTTACTAACGTTTATTTTATTTTAAAACTGTACTATCACTTCTTATTTTCTACTTCCGGCCAGAATTAAATGCTTTAACTTGTTTATGCAAATTGTCTTGCTAACGCCCAAGTTGTGGCTTTTTGCCAAGCGGGAGAGAGTAGGAGTTTTAGGAAGCAAGCCGCTTGCCTCTGTAGTTTTACGAGTTTTCACTTAATTTCTGGTTGTTTTTAAGGCCAGAGGCTTAGCCCTCTTGATATTTGCAAACGTATTGTAATTAAGACACAATAACACGCCGAATAAATACTAATTCAGAAGTCAAACAACAAAAATCAGCGTTATATTTACAAAATTTTCGCAGGAAACCAACAGATGGCGCCACTTGCTTATTCTTGTCCAGGCTTTCTTATCTTATCTAATCATTATTTCCTATCTTGTTCATTTGCGGTTTTGCAGCTGAGGATGGTGGTTCGGTAAAACCATCGAAACTAGTCCTGTGAAAATTTTGTAAATATAGCGCTGATTTTTGTTGTTTGACTTCTGAATTAGTAAACGTATTGTAGTTTAAGCAGCTCGGCGTACTACATACGTACCTTTTTTAAATAAAGGCCAGTATGCTAGACATTTGTATACTAATTCAAAGTTAGCATTTTAGTTAGAGTTTTAGTTAGTAGTTTTTATATTCTTACGTTCAGACCACAAGTGGTTGGTCTCTGTATTCCAAAGTTCGGAAGTGCCTGTAAAAGATTGAAAATAAAGGGTTTCGTATACCCTTCCTGCTTGTGTTGTCTACTTCACACCTTCTCGAACATAGCTTGAGTAAGCTCCCTGTTCCTATTCAGGATCATTCCTGTTTCCAACGCAATTCAAGAGAAACACAAGTTCTGACAATGTGAACCTTTTTTACTATGTCTTCTGAGCATTCGAATGCTTTTAAATATTTGAATTCCAATGCTAATTTTAGAAATATTGAATAAATATCAATTTATACGAATTTTTAACTTATGTCGCATGAAAACTGCCCCAAAATGTCTTTTTCTCAATTGCGTACAATGCCTATTTTATATCTGATACTTGAAATATTTATTAAAAACTCAAGCCATCTTTCCTTTATAAACGACAAATTTTCAAATCAATACGAATGAAATTTTATTTTTAAATTAATAATTTGATGTTCCCTGTTAAAAACGTTGGCCTGTAAAAGTTGAATATAACATTATTTAATTCTTGGGATTATCGAAGATTTTCCTACAGAGTGCCCATAAATATTTATTCAGTACTGAAAACATTTAATAGACTTCCACGTGTGCAGCCCTGGTAACGTGCAAAATAATCAACCAGTACACAGTTTTACGCCAAACATTCTTCACCATTTCTGGTGCTATTAGTGAATGGTGTCTGAGATGCTCTGTTTCAAGATCTCAACATCGGGAACTGTTGCGTAGTATCCTTAAGGTAACCCCCCAAAACGAAATTTAGAGTGGATATATCAGGACATCTGGGACAAAGAATATGTACATAGACGTTCTCTGTCTGGGAGGTCAACCGAATGGAATTCCCCCTGCCTGTTTGGAAAGGTTTAATTAAGCTAGTCGGAAAGGACAATATCCCAAATGAGGTGGATAAATAGTAGTAGATTGTTTATCGGTTAGATGGGAAATACCAAAGTTTATTTATATGTTTAACTACACACATATAGTTATTGCAGGAAGAACAACAGGCCAGTGAATTGATAACTTGTTATATCACATCACATATTAACCTTTTGCCTATTCCAAATGTGCTCAAGTACGGCATTGGGATTTTTGGATTTCAATATCTTTACATTTTGCCTATTAATTGATCTACTGAGATTAAAAACGTAACTCCGTCGGAAAAACGCACGTGTTTTATAAAAGCATTATCTTCATTAATTCGGTTTAACATGCAGTTCTCAAAATTTTCGCAAGCTGGTCGATCGTTTGGTTTGACAGCCTGCACATTTTCGACTTTGCACACATGCACTTAGAGGTTACTACCGTCTGAACGAGTTGGCTGTATTGTATTTGCATTAGTAATTTTCAAAATGTAGGACGTGAGTATAAATCCTTTCCCTTTAAAATTTCTTCCACAAAAACATCTTTCCCTTTAAGTAGGTAGCGTATCTTTACTGCTGTCCATATAAAATGCGGCATGAAGGAAGATAAGAGATATCAAAGATAAATATATTTCAGAAATTACACATATTATCAGTGTTATTTGATTTCAAATACAATCTTCTTTGAGGCGAAGAAGGCAAAAAAGTTAGCAATGAATGTTGACTCTACATTTGTCAATAACCTCTGCTACATGCTGCGGCATTTAGTGAAAGATACTTTGAATGTTTTGTTGTCAAATGGCAACTCATGCTGCCTCCACATGTAGCCAATGTTTATTTGATATATTCACACACCGGCATGGCATACCACACGTATGCCATGCCAGGTTAGTCGTTCTCCAGTCATTGACCAGGAAATGTTCGATGAGCAATAGATCTTGAGAATGGGCAGGGCGAATAGCACTGCAATATAGTGGACTAACAAGAAAGCTTGGACATTGTCTGCAAAGGGTGATCGCGCATTGTCTTGTTGAAATGTACCGCCAGGAATGTCCTGAAGGAAAACTGGCTACGAAATCTCAGAGATATAGCGTTGGTTGGTAAGCATATCCATAATGCGTGCTAGAGGGATGCAGAAACATAATCTAATACACCGCCGCATCATTATACCGCATGCAGGACCGGTAGGACGATGCATAACATAAAAGTTGAGCAGTCTTTGTCCACGGTGTCCACAAACTCTAATCTGACGACGGTGGTACTGCAAGCAGAAGTCTGATTCGTTCAGTGAACCATTACAAAAGCAAACGCCTGCGGTTTAAATGTGAGCTAAGCAGTGCACATCTGTCAGACAGTCCCTTGCACTGTAAATAAAGTCGAATTGTTCATGCAGGCACCGATTTCTATATAATAGATTGCATTCGTTGTGATAAGGCTGAAGACTTGGCAGACTCCATCAGTGCTATGTACACAATATGGCTGTCTTCTCGAGGAGTGGTGCGACTAGGTGGTTGCAGTTGCTCCAGTCCGTTAGTCATTACCTTCTGCATACATCGTTTGCATATTCGCATAACTGTTGCTTGGCAACGTCCTACACGATGACCGATTATCTTTAAGGCTTACCCGCAATCTCTGTACGTAACGATTCTGTCTCGGTCAAACTCCGAAACACGTTTAAATGATGTTCCATGTTTTTCTACGACTGAAACTGCACAGACAAAAAACTCACGAAAGAACGATTCACTTTATTTAGAACGTCAATCTTTCCTCCCTTTATACTGGTAAAGCTAGGAGGCGCTGCTGTCGCCCATGATAAGCGCGTAAGCTGAATTATTATGCTTTTGCTTATTCCGTCGCGATATATCCATGATGCAAGTTTCATGCTGTCTGAATGCTTTCTTTATGGTGTTGCAATTTGGATAGCCAGCAGTTTAATTAAGGTGCCTTTACTATTTAGTTAGATCATTTAATGGCAAAGTCTTTTGGTGATGGCCTTTGCTATTACATACTATATACGATCAAACAGATCCTTTCAAAAATACATATATTTTATTTGATTCTTTGAAACCATATCATCTGTCTTAAGAGATATGCCTTCACAGAAAATTAACGCAAAGAAATCGACTCCTATATAAGCTATGAATAAAAAATTACGATTATCAGAGTAG